AGAGAGCACAAGCAGGGGGAGGGGCAGAGGGAGAAGGAGAAGCAGGCAGAGGGAGAAGGAGAAGATGGGCTCCATCCCAGAACCCTGGGATAACGACCTGAGCTGAAGGCAGACGTTTAACCCACTGAGCCACCCAGGTGCTCCAACATATAAATTTTATTTGGCAAAATACTCTGGGAAAATATGACTAAAATTTTACTCGTAGCCTAAATAGACATCTCAAAGAATAATTTAAAAAATATCTGCACTATTCAACTCTAGATTTTACTTACAAGATATCCAGATGGGCACGTCGTACATATCCAATCAACTTGCCAAGAGAATGACTGAAAGGATTATTTTATTTTCAAGCTGTCAATTATGACTTATAATAAGATGAATACAAGTCCTATATTGAGAGATCCTTTGGGGGCTAATCTAGCCTGTATGCTATTATCATACAGTCTAAAATACATGAATTTTATCGTTGAGAAAGCTTTCAATAATGGTGGTACCCAGCTATGCTTTCTGGTGTTTGCGGATCCTCACCATCTGCTCCCACTTTCTGACTCTGTCTTGATCTAGAGTGTGCTTATCTCAATCAGATGATAAAATAAGCAGTTTCTGAGCTTCACTGGGAACCAACCCAGTGCTCAATAAACACTTATTAATTGAGATGGAACATGATATTCCAACTTTCCTTCCAATTTCCTTTCTTTTTGTCCAGAATCCAAAACAATGATTGTGCATGACTTTCCAGGGGGCCTTCGTGTTTTTATAAAAGTGAGAAAGGCTAACAATTCAGCAATATAGTAGTTGCTTACAATCTCCCTATATTTTTACTGCCAGTATTCCGCCACAAGCATTTACAATTATTGTAGACTTCATAAGTTCATTAAATTATATTGAAAAGAGTCTTTCTGGATTAGAAAAATTACTTGATTTTTGGTATCATTTCAAAAAACTTGCCCCTTCTGCATTCTCTTGTTGATATCCTCCAGATGTTCTTTTTTAAAAACTGGAAGTCTATAAAACAGATAAATTATTGACTTTAGCAATTTTTCCTCAGGGCACTTTTTTAGCTTCCCTCCTAATGTTTAGAGGATGAATAGGACCAATGAAGAAAGTCTGGAACCTTAGGGTTAGTGACATATTTAAGGTTCCTTCACATTCACAGATTGTTTATTTTAAATAAGAAAAGAAGAAAGAGTAAGAAAAAAGCTTTACATAATTTATGTGCAGCTTTTCCTGGTAAATACGTTTACAGTGAAGAAAAAACACGCACAGGGTAAAATGTGACTTTGGTTACAGGCCTTAGTTAGTTCCATGTACAGGATAATTTTCATATTTAGGCACATGAGTTTTTAAAAGTGCTCACGATACAGGTAAGAGGCTGAACATACACCCTATTTCCCCAGACAGTCTTGTTAATACATGTTGTCTCCTAATCCTGTCTGGTTAGTGCCCCCCTATTACTCTCCAAAGTGCTTTGGTTTGAAGGATAAATTTATGATCATCCTAGAGATAAGCCATGTTAAAATGGTATGACTATAATAGCATGAACAGATAGCTGAAATACCTAGAAATAAAGATGAATTCTTAAAAAAAAAAAAAAACCTCTCAGAAAAAGTACTTTTCACTATTTATAGTGTTGAGGACTTTGATGTGTTAGAAAGACACACTCTGAATATTCTGCATCAAATATGGAGTAATGATAATAGCATCATGTACCTGGTTTAGTTACATGAAGTCCTTGATTTTAAGCTATTAGTTACATCAACTAAGTTATTAGTTAATATTTTAAGCTATTAGTTAGTTACATCAATTTAGTTACAGCAAGTCCTTGATTTTAAGTTATTACTTACCTTCATATAGAGACTTCCAAAGTTTTTGAAGATAAATAACTTTAAAAGAGTCTTATTAAAAATGAATCACTTAAAAGGACAGTTTTAAAAGATATTTTGAGAGAGTTTTAGATTTTTGGAATCCTTCTCTAGTAATATCAATAGTTCCATTAGAGTCTCAGAAAAAGAAATGACATTCCATTGTCTTCAACAAAGAAACCTTTTGTGTGCATGTAATATTAACCACTTGGGATAATTTCCGAAGGCTATGGGCCCCTTCTAAGAAAAATACTTTCTAAATGCATAAAATAAGATACAAAGTATTATAATGGAAACCTATTATATTGGAATATAGCTATCAAAATGTATTTTCTAAATGTGATAAAGTAATATATGAGCTTCTTCATTTACTCATTATATAATATTATTGAACAGCAGGTCTAATAGCTATCATAATTACCAAGAAGTGATGAACACAAATAATATTTTAAAGTTATCTACAATAACTATAATGTGATCTGAAAAGTCACAGATGCTGCTCATGCTACTGGTTTGTCAAATACATTCACAACTGGAGAAAATTTTAATTAAGAGGTTAGTGAAAATAAAGTAATTTTTTCCCAAACAAGTTCATGACCTCTTTGAATTCTATCATTATGGGTACAATACTAAGCCTAGAAAGTCAGACTAGTTTATTATATGTGCATAATTAATTCATCAAACAACTATTTAAACAATTATAATCAGGCTACAAAACAACATTTGTGAAAACAAAGAGCCCAGCAAATGCTTTTTAAAAGAAAGAAAAATGAAAATTCATTGTGTAAATGAGAGCTGTCAAATATAATACAGTATACGTTGAATGCACTGAAAAGAAAGCACGGTAGGTGTTTTCTAGAATGTTTTAAAAAACAAAAAATGAAAATCCCCTAACACATAAACATCACATTTTACATTAAGGATTATGTCCCTTATCCCTATCACTAATATTTTAAAATTGAAGTTATATTTTTACAATTTTTCTCTTCAGGTTTGCATTTTCTTTTTAACTTTCACAGTGTAATGTATTAATTAATGTATTAATTTACTGCTTAACCTTTTTTGCCCTCAAAACTCTAAATGATATCCAATAAGCAAGCAAACATATACACGCACAATTTAGGCCCTCAGCCTGTGGCTTCACTTCCTGGTACAGAGTTCAGACGATTTGGTAAACACAGAAACTGCTTAAAAGGCAAGGTGGGATCACAGATCATTGGAAACTAAAGGGACCATAGAAGCCACTCTGTCTAACTCTGCACTTTACAAATGAGGAACCAGAGACAACAGAGGTTAAGGGACTTACCTGGGACCCAAGATGACAGAGGAGAAGCTAGTCTGATAGTTAACAGAGCACCCCCTTCACTACTCCACCAGGACGAGTCCTGGGTCTACTCTTAGCAAAGCATAGTTATTGAAACAAGACATACAATCAATTAGAAATACATCTTATTTACAGATTTTTGCTTCCAAATATGAAATCTGCAAGACTTAAACAGTGATTATATCTCTAGAACAGAGGCCTTGAAAGAATATTAAAAGTTCAAGAAATTGTTTTGAATAGTTTTCAAAGTCTAATTTATTAGCAATGTCATTATGACTATTGGAAACTGAGTTAATCCCTAATTTTACTTTGTTTTTTTTAGTTGGCCTTTTTTTCCTGATTATAAAAGGAAAACACATGAAAAAATAAAAAATAATAATAAAAGGAATATACATCTATTATAATACATTTTGAAAATGCAAGGACAAATAAAGAAAAAAATAACAAGGAGCCATATCCCAAGAGTCAAAGACAATATTGGTAATATTGTAATATTTCAGCCTACTTCTTCCCAGATATATATGTATATACAAATATATACCTATATTCCTACATATAAACTTATATTAAGATATTATTGTATATAAAATTTTATATCTTGCCTTTTCTCTTAGCATTTGACCATGAACATTTTCCCACTGAATAAAAGTCATTTCTAAAACATCACTAACATGAAAGTCTGTGTTTGGTGGTTATTAAAAAAAATTAAGTTTAAAGACATTATGACAATAAAATTATCCCATATAATTTTTGATCACTGGGCTATTGAGGCTATCACTACATCAAGTAACTCTAATGCATGAAATCACTCTAAATCAAAATTATTAAAAACACGTTTATAAGAGAGAGTCGTTATAAAAACTTGAGTGCAGATAGCGAAAGTCATTGAGGAAAATGTGTACTATCCCAAGAAATGAAAACTCACAGAGACACCACCTGCTACTATTAAATGCAGGAAGATTCAGAATGGTATTATTACAACAGTATATTTTGACAGGGTTCTGCGAAGTCATGAGGGAATAAACATTGGTACAAACATTTAGGGCCTGACATACCATAGGAGTTCAATAAATATTGTGGAATGAACATACGGGAGTCAATGTACCAACATGTATCAAGACACCTGAATATGATTACACCCTTGACTCATAATCTTAAGGGAAAATATAAAATATATACACTGAGGCACTCGCCGCAGTTTTCTTAAAGGGGAAAAACTGGTCACAACTAAATGTCCAAGGCTGCTATCATTGTTAAGTAAATAACAAAGGTATAAAGAGCCATGGAGATAATTTTCAAATTAATTTAACAACTATACTAAAATTGTAAGGGTCTTACCAAGAATTCTTAGTTTAAAATGATTGAAATATTTAAAATATTGGTATATTTGTTCTCATGGAAAAAGATTTTATTTCATCCTTTTAATAAAGTAATGAATGCTAAAATTGAAGAATATCATGGCATTAAAAAAATAATATATTCAGAATCCCACATGAATAAACTATTATTTGCCTTCCAAAATATATTCTTATATTCAATGTCAAAGTGTTACCCATCTGTCCGCCTATACAACAGAAGATGAAGTCAGAGTCATACCAGTGGTGAAAGAAAAGTCATGACCTTCTATTTTCTCTATATCATGACATAGATAACCTTGATGTTTCTTCACCGAATCTTAGCCTAGGCCCAGTATTAGAGAATTTGTTAAAACTAACAGACACACACACACACACACACACACATACACACACACCCCACTTACAGTGATAAACCTTTAAAAAACAACACAAGTCACAATACCTTTCTGAGCTCTGATGGCTCACTTCCTTCTTCCACCACAATTAGTTGAGATCTTCCTTTTCTTTCGTTGTCCCGAATGCCAATGGCAACCTGGCTTGCCTTCAGACGCTCGTATTTGTTGCACGAGGAACCACACCATTGGTAAATTTCCTAAAAGAAAAGGACAGATCTTTTGACCCTGAAATACATGGAGGACATTTAGCCCTGTTGTAATACTCACTGTTAGTATTAGGAAAAAACAAAAAGATATTTAAAAAAAAAAAGAAAGTTATCTATTGTTGAGGTATATATAATTTTACGTACTTATACCTCATTCTGTATCCTGTTGTTTTCAGTTAGCATATAAAGTAACCATTTTTTAAACATGGAAAATATAAGTATGTATCTCACCATTCTTTGGGTATATCCACTAATTACAATTTACGAAAGTAAACTTGTATGTTACCTAAATTTAAAATAATAATTTTACCATATTTCAGAAAGGTAATAAAGAATCTGTTACAGTAATGTGCTCTTGATGATTATAAAAATTGATCTAATGCTTTTGTAAAGCAATTTAATGAATCTTATCAAAAGCCATAAAAAGAATTAAGACATATGACCCAGTAATAATACTATCTGGAATTCATTTTAATAAATTATTCATAAAGATTAGGAAGAAACCATATGTACAAGGGTTTTTATTGCTATATAATTATATTAGTGAGGCATTGGGAAGACATTAAATGTTCTATAATAGGATAATAGTATATATATTCATGATACAGAGAAAAAACAGATACTTAATAGCAAAGTTGTATTTTAACATAGAGATTTATAAAAATAAAAATAGAATGACAGTTCGATATATTCTAAAATCAGTAGATTATATTAGCTGCCATTTAGATCAAAATATTGTATATTTTAGACTTGGGTACAGTGTTCAGAAGATATAGATAAAATTTAAACTAATAATAAAATATCATTTTCTCCATTAAATGTGGTTTTAATGAAAGAAAGAAAAATTTAATGGTGCCTAGTCTTGGTGGGGGAGTAGGAATGGGCATTATCACAGTCTATTTGGGTTGTATAAACTGATACACAGTCCTTTTCTGAGGGAAGTTTGGTATCGTATCAAAAAATTACATGTGCTTTTAGGATCAGGAAATTCAATTTCTAGGACTCTATGCTACAGAGGTATTCAAACATGGTTTACAAAAACAAAGAAACAAAACAAAAACCCCACAAATGTCCATCAGTAGGGCGATGGCTGTAGATGGGTGTAAATGTTGTTATATGGAGACTGCAGACTGTTCTTTAATGCCTAAAACCTGAGAAAAGTGTTTAAATGCCGACACAGAAAATCTTTCAAGGTATACCATCAAGAATAAGAAGGTAGCGGGAGGGGAAGAATGAAGCGGGGGAAATCGGAGGGGTGGACGAACCATGAGAGACAATGGACTCTGAAAAACAAACTGAGGGCTAGAGAGGAGAGGGGGGGGAGGATGGGTTAGCCTGGTGGTGGGTATTGAGGAGGGCACATTCTGCATGGAGCACTGGGTGTTATGCACAAACAATGAATCATGGAACACTTCATCTAGAACTAATGATGTAATGTATGGGGATTAACATAAGAATAAAAAAAAAAAAGAATAAAATAAAGCCACGAATAGTACAGTTCCATTTAAGTGGAAGCAGAAACATAAGCTCTGTTTCTGTGTTTGCAAAGAAAGATTTTTAAAGATATACAGTTTTAACAGATGGAGAGAGGCATGTATACGTAGAAAGAGAGCCTTCAATTTTTATCTAATAGCTTTTTTCTTTTTTTTTTAATGTCACATATATTAGGTGCCTATGATGAGCTAGATGTTGGGGATAGAGAGAAGAATAAGAGAAAGCTAGCAAGGACAGATTGACATGTAGACAACCAATGCTAATAATGTATTTGCACTACACTTGCTTTCAAAACAAGTTCCACACAAACTGTGTGCAGTCCATCTTGGAGAGGTGGTTAGCACAGTGGTTAAGTGTGAAGGAGACAGACCCAGGCTGCAACTTACCAGCTATAGGACCTTGTGTCTGCAATGTTTAAAAGAGCACATCAATTAATAACAGCAAAATAAAAGAGCACCCAGGCATCCACAGACAGAATGGCTCTTTTCTCTGATGATAAAACATTTCCAGTCCAGAGTCATTTCTTTATTCACAAATAGCTTACCGATTGCCTAAAATGGGCTCTCTTCCAGGCCCTGGGGGCCCAAATTTGAATCACACAGGCCTGGGGGAGATTCTCTGACCCCTCACCCCACCCCCAGGTTCCTTATGCACTTATTCCATATTCCTCTTCAAGAATAAAATACACATTTTAGCAATTCGAGTCTTTATAAGAAGTAAAATAAAAAAAGACTATGCCTTGCAACTCTTCTCACTCTAGAATCTATCAAGGGGCATTTCTTTTCCATTTTTAAAAGAATGGTACACTGCTGTTGTTTCTCATTTCTTTTCTACATCTGGGCATCTGAATATGAGACTCACATTTGGAATCAATTGAATACTATGCCCAGGTCAGCAATTACAAAGAGTGAAAACAAATGGTCCCCAACGATTAGTCAATGCCTATCACCGTGCATTAGGATCAGGTGGTGGCGTAGGAAGGTGATTTTTAAAAATACAGAAAACTGAGCACTACCCTTAGGGACCCTCAGGTATGTTCTGGGCAGCCCTGTTTTTTGAACACTCCCCAGGTGATTCTAGCATTCAACTGAGAATCCCTGCTGGTGGTCTTGAGCACAGTGCAACTGGCAGGCATTTGCAGAGAATCTGCAACATCTAATTACCCAGTGCAGCAAAACACGCTACTCTGCTAAATACACGTGGGCTCTCGGCTCTGATTTCTTCCCTATCTTATTCCATGAGATTTTGCCACTGATTCTTTTCTCAGTGGGTCTGAGAAAGCAAACTTCTAATATTTACATTACAGCGAAATATAGGAAGCAGATCAGAAGATTAGATCTCTAGATTTCTCACTTGTTAGCAACTTTCACTACTGACTTTCTCTGCATTTATATAATTGTCCAACAGATGTTTATGTTCTCCATATAAGTGACCTTTCATCGACTTCAAAGAGATTATATAAAATCACACTAAATTTTATTAGCTTCTGTAGTACATTATGGAAGCTTGGTAAAATGTGTTTAGAAGAGAAATGTAGATAATAATTTGACTAACATAATTATTTAATGTAGAATTTTACAGTATTCCATGGATCCCCAAATATTTTCTATGACATTATCTTGGGTTGGGAGTTTTTATGTGCAGTATCAGCTCACAGGTAAATTCAGTTGTAGAAAATATTCTTCACCATTACTGAAAGACCTCAGTTTATACTTTTAAAATAGCAAAAAGAACAAAGCTGGAGGTATCACAATCCATGATTTCAAGATTTACTACAAAGCTACAGTAATCAAAATAGCATGGTGCAGGTGCAAAAATAGACACATAGAACAGAACAGAGAGCCCAGAAATAAACCCATGCTTACACAGTCTATTAGTCTATGACAAAAGGGCAAGAATATGCATTGGGGAAAAGACAGTCTCTTCAACGTGTTGGGAAAACTGGACAGCTGCATGCAAAAGAGTAAAACTGGACTACTTTCTTACGCCATACACAAAACTGCACTCAAAATAGATCAAAGACCTATATGTAAGACCTGAAACCATTATATTCCTAAATGAAATCACAGGCGGTAATCTCTTGGACATCAGCCTTAGCAACATTTTTCTGGATATGTCTCTTCAGGCAAAGGGGAAAAAAAGCAAAAATGAACAATTGGGACTACATCAAACTAAAAAGCTTCTGCACAGCAAAGGAAACTATCAACAAAATGAAAAGGCAAATATCATAAGATTTCACTTAAATGTGGAATCTAAAAAATAAAACACACAAAAACCAGAAATATTATCATAAATACAGAGAACAAATTAGTGGTTGCCAGAGGGGAGAGGGATGGGTGAAATAGGTGAAGGGAATTCAGAGGTACAAACTTCCAGTTATAAATAAATCACAGGAATGAAAAGCACAGCATAGGGAATATAGTCAATAATATTGCAATAACATTGTATGGTGACAGAGGGTAACTACACTTATCGTGGTGAACGCTGTGTAGTGTACAGAGTTGTCAAATCACTATGTTGTACACCTGAAACTAATATAACATGGTATGTCAACAACACTTCAATAAAAAAAATTTAAAATAGCAAAAAACATATCTAGGAAATGCTCATGAAAACAATAAAACTGTTAAAAGTAAAATTTTCCTTTTTAACTCAAAGATGACCCAATCACTAAAGAAAGTGTTACAGAAAATTTCTTATTGGGCATGAAAATGAATGCTTTGTGTTATGCTTACTCTTTTATTATTTTCACTTAATTTTGTGCTACTATTTCTATAAAAGTGACATATCATCTTATTTCCTAGACTTAATTTTTAGTGGTGAATTCAGACAAGAAATACAATAAAATATGGACTTTAATTATAAATTGCCAAAAGCCAGAATTGTTTAAGGAGTTCTATTAATTTAAAAAACCCTTTTCTTTCAATGCGACTTAAGTTTTTCTGCAAATATATTTTATTCAATCACGGCAGCAACACAGTTAAAACATGCTTTAGATTTTAAACAGAAAATTTGTTTAGATTTTAAACAGAATTTTAGCAATTCATTAAATTTGAGCAATTTAAATTCTATCATGGATGGATGATGTGGTTAGGACATCTCATTTTAACAAAGCTCTACTGTGCTAAATAAATGTGTATAGTACTATTAATAAGCTGCACTACCAACACTTACTCTATTCAGCGGTAGTTGGGCAAGACCACTTCTCTGCTCTGTGCACAAGGAAACTCTGTGCTCAATTGGCCCCGTGCTTGAAAAATGTTCCTATAATTCAACTTACCCTGTTTTTTGGAGGGAGTGAGCTAAAAAAACCCAAGAATGCTACACAGAGCTAAAAAAATGCCCAAATTGATGTAACAGGTTCATACTATTATTACAACAAAAAGTTTTCATAATTTAAATTGTTTTATTTATAATACTTTGATGGGATTTAGATAAAAATTCTTTTGTAAAGGTGATTTAAGCAGATGAGACACTGAAAATGATAAAGCAAACAT